GCATATGTGTGTGTGTGTGTCTGAGATATTCATAGATATTTATACATCCCCCCATGTGTGCGTGTATCCACAAAAGTGTGTGCTATATAGCAATTGATACACTCACACACACACACACACACACACACACACACACACACACACACACACACACACACACACACACACACACACACACACACACACACACACACACGTGCCCCTCCGCTTTTCCTTTTCTTTAGGTCCACGTCCACATCTTCGACCACTTCGACCTCAACGAGCTCGTCCACATCGACTTCCACTTCCACCTCAACTTCAACGTGAGACATCTACAGACACGTATCGCTGATGGGTGCAGTGGCTGCTTGATACAATCACACTGTACTCACGTCTCTTACCGCCTTACAACACCTGTAAACTTGTGCTTCGTTTCTCTTCGTTTCTTCTTTCTGTTCTTTCCGTTTGCTCCTCGTTGATTTTTTTCCGTTGCTTGCGCAGAACCACATCGACGTCATCTTCCACGTCGACATCCACTTCATCTTCGACCTCCACATCCACATCCACCTCAACCTCGACCAGCACAAGCACCTCAACAACTAGCTCCACCAGCACAAGCACGTCCACATCCACCTCATCTTCCACTTCGACCTCCACATCCACATCAACGTCAACATCCACCTCAACAACTACATCCACGTCCACATCTTCCTCATCATCAACATCAACCAGGTATGCGAGCTGCCACGTCCAACACGATGAAGGGGTGCAGCTGATGATAACACCACAACCATGCGTTCGCTCGCTGTGTCCACTATCATCTCCTTGTATGCACGTGCCTTTTCTCCCTCCTGAATCTTTTCACCCCCTGCTCTCATCCTCTTTCCACCCTCACCTTACTTTCCCCACCTCAATTCCTCCTCTCCCTGCCGTTGTAGCACCTCGACCTCCACCTCCACCAGCTTCACCCTCCGCTGCCCAGAGGCCAACGGCTGGTACGACCACGGCGAGCGCGAGTACCGGTATGTGGACGTCAAACTGGCGCAGCCGGACGCGCAGGCGACGTGCGAGGCATTTGGCGCCAACCTCACGTCCATCAACAGCGAGGACGAGTTCGACTTCTTCCTGCGCTTGCTCGAGTTTGAGGCCGCAGAGGACATCAAGGAGATCTGGACCGGTGGTCACTTCCTCCCATTCAACGGCTTTGGTGCGCATACTACTGCTGCTGCTGCTGCTGCTGCTGCTGCTGCTGCTGCTGCTGGTGGTGGTGGTGGTGGTGGTGGTGACACTCCTTATGGTTACTGGTACTCCTTATGGTTACTGGTACTCGTTGTGGTAGTGGGTGTTGTGGTGCCTCTTTGAGGGTCGCTCCCCACTCCTAACTTTCTCCTCTCCCTCGTTCCCTCCTCTCCCTGTTCTGCTGATGTTCCTCACACGACATATGTTTGATCTGTGCTCATGACAGAATGGGTGGATGGGTCATCCACGGACTTTGAGCTGCCGTACGCTATTGGTGAACCAACGCGAACGTCGCGGGAGGACTGCCTCCTCTTCAACTTCAGGTGACCTTCAACGAGACTTTTGATGTTTGTTCAATATGGCATATCATGTTGTTTCTCCGCACAACACACACACACACACGCAACCACAACACACGCTCTCCCTCCTCCTTCTTCCCTCGCTTACGCACGCACAACACACACACACACGAACACACACGAACACACACACGCACATGCAGGGACGAGTTCAACGTGCTGCAAGAGGAGTTTGAGAGCCGCCGGTGCAACCCGCAGCGCGAATTTGTGTGCGAGCGTGATAAGCAGCTGCTGTGCACATCGACGTCCACGTCGACTTCGTCGTCTACAAGCTCGTCCACGAGCACCAGCACGTCAACATCCACATCGTCATCGACCTCCACCTCGACATCCACGTCCACGTCAACTTCAACGTCATCAAGCACATCCTCCTCCACCTCCACCAGCACCAGCACCAGCACTTCGACCTCCACATCGACGTCGACATCCACCTCCTCGTCAACCTCGTCATCCACATCAACATCCACAAGCACTTCCACGTCCACGTCCACGTCCACATCCACCTCGACCTCCACCTCAACATCAACCAGCACAAGCACATCCTTCTCCACCAGCACCTCCACTTCCACTTCCACTTCCACAACATCATCAACTTCCACCTCCACGTCAACCTCCACATCCACATCCACGTCCACCTCCACGTCTTCCAGCCGCATCTTTGCTGAGGACGTGTTTGGCGACCTTCCGCTTGACTTTGAGCTTGAGCACGAGGGCCTGTTCCAGGAAGGAAAGAACGACCCACGCCGCTACTCGACAGCATATACTGCGGCCGCCATCATCCGCAAGCAAACCGTCCTCGACACCATGCAATGCGCAGACCTCTGCTTGCAAGAGTTCTTCTGTCTCGGTGAGTCGTATGGACATGTGTGTGTATGTGTGTGTGCGGGGGGGGGGAGTATTTGTCTGTGTCTATGTGTTTGTTTGTGTCTCTGAGTACAATGCAGCCGCGTTTGCGTGTGTCTGTGTGCACGTGTTAGCGGGAACGCAGCGCAAAGGGAAATGCGTGCGCTGGCTTGATTTCGGTTTCGACAGGCTTTGTTCTGCACACGTTCTGCCTGTCAGTGCTTCCCGCGTCGCATCCCACTCATACTCACCCACGTTACACCACCACCACCACCACCACCCACATTGCACCAAAGGCATCTACTTGTACGTGATTCCTGGCACGAGCACCATTCGCTGCCACGTCCTGCGGGATCTCGGCGTGCAGGGCGGTGTTCGCACCAACGACCAGGCCCTCTCCGCCCGCCGCATTGAGCTGCCAACGACAACCACCACGACAACCACGACCACGACCACCACAACAACTACTCTTCTTCCGGGCACGGAGGTGTTTGGTGCCTTTGATGAGGAACGCTTTGCTGTCTCGTTGCTCGGTGCTGGACACGGTGCGTATTCACATCAGAAACGCGATTGTTTTGCGTCATTGCATGCTTGTCTGCTTTGCTCTGCTACATGGTGGTCTGCATTATCCGTTGTTTGAACCACTCACACACACACATACACGCGCGCGCACATGCACACACGCACACGAACAACATCAGGCGTTGCCACGCCGCGTCGCTTCTCCACGGGGTTCTCGTCAAGTGCTCTTCTTGCACGCCACGATGATGTGTCCAGCGAGCGCTGCGGCGAACTCTGTATTGCGTACGGCCGCGAGTGTGTTGCGTACTTCATCTGGACGCTTTCGTCATCACCATTCAACCGCTGCTTCCTCCTCGACAGCATCGGCTCCCCAGTCGGTATGTGCCGTGTGTGTGTGTGTGTGTGTGTGTGTGCGTGCGTGTGTGCGTGTGTGCGTGTGTGCGTGTGTGTGCGTGTGGGTGGGTGGGTGTTACGTGCCTGCAAACACGCTGACGTGTGTATATCTTTGTTTGTGTGCTTGTGAGCGTGCCTTTTGCTTGCCACGCTGCCACTGCTCTCGCATGGCGTGTTGGCTGCTTTCGCTGCCACTCTCCTCTGCCCCGTTTCCTTTCACTCTCCTGCCACTCACCTCACCTCTTCCCGCCCCCCCCCCCTTACTCACTTCTTGACCTCCTTCGCACTCGACAGCGACAAACACGGTGTCTGTGTCGTTTGAGAGGATCTTCCAAACATCGACGTCCACATCAACGTCCACATCCACTTCAACAACAACGTCGACGTCCACCTCCACATCCACCAGCACGACGACATCTACCAGCACATCCACATCCACATCCACGTCCACATCCACCAGCACATCAACATCAACGTCATCCTCCACCTCCACCACGTCAACCACCTCCACCTCCTCGTCCACCTCCACCTCCACCTCCTCGTCATCCACCACCACCACAGAGTTTGTGCCCGATGTGCCCGTCGTCTCCAACCCCTCGTTTGAGGAGGAAGACCTTCAAGGCGCCGAGATTACGTCACTGCTGGTGGACTGGACGGCCACGCGTGGCTTCGTGGGCGTGACAGTTCCCGACAGCGCGGAGTTTGAGGCGAACGCGGCTGTGGATGGTTCGCAGGTTGCGCTCCTCCTTGCCTCGTCGCGTGTTGAGCAGGTGGTGCAGGACGGCTGGCTGCAAAACGGCGTGGAGTACACGATGCATGCAAGCATCGGGCGCACGTTCTCGTCCAGCACGTTTGTGCCCATCACCATCACGGTGGACTCTGAGGACGGTGCAATGACATTTGCGCAACTGCGTGTGACTGGCGCAAGCGTCCAGCCGGGCGACTTTAACCAATTCTCCCTCCAGTTCCTCGTGCAAAACCTCGGTGGGGACACATGTTGGGTTTGTGTTTGTGTTTGGGTTTTTAGATTGGTTTTGGTTTTGGATTCCGTGCTTGTGAGAGCTCGCATATGCCCGTTTTGCCAGGTTTCTTGTCTCATTTCATCCTTCCTATTATTTTGTTTTGACGTCTCACGCTCACATGCCATTCCCGCCCACCCCGCCTCCAAACTTTAACAACAACACCAATTCCCATCCTTGTGCAGAATCCCCCGTGCGCGCGCGCGTGTCATTTGAGACAGCAGACGATCTCGAGATTACGCCCACATATGTTGATGGCGTGTGGATTGAGGGCCGGGTGTTCACCACCACGACAACGTTCACATCGACATCATCGTCAACATCCTCGTCCACATCCACATCCACCTCCTCCTCGTCCTCCACCACATCGTCTTCCTCCACCTCCACCTCCACCTCCACCTCCACCTCCACGTTCCCAGAGCCAGTCATTGAGAATCCATCGTTTGAGGTCGATCTCTCAAACGGACAGATCATCCACCCCGTCCCCGGATGGACCGTTCCCCGCGCCTTCGAAGGTAGAGGATGTCTGTGTGTGTGTGTGTGTGTGTGTGTGTGTGTGTGTGTGTGTGTGTGTGTGTGTGTGTGTGTGTGTGTGTGTGTGTGTGTGTGTGTGTGTGTGTGTGTGTGTGTGTGTTGTAGGTGTGTGTGTGTATGTTGTAGGTGCGTATGCGTGTGTGTAAGTGTATATTCTATGCGCGAGCATGCATCGTTGTTTTTAATCTTGTTTCCTGCTCCTCCCGACCACCTTCATCCCCCAACAGGCGCCTTCTATCCCGGCACGGCCGCCTATGGCTCCAGCACTCTTCCTCCGCCCGGCGATCAGCGAAAAGTTTTGCTTCTGCTGGATCAAGGGGACCGCATCCCAAGCCATTGAGGGCGCAGTAGTCTTCCCTGACGCAATCTTCACCGGTCTCTTTTGCCGTTGGGTGGCGGGCAGACTCAAGCGCCATCCCGCAGGTGTGTGTGTGTGTGTGTGTGTGTGTGTGTGTGTGTGTGTGTGTGTGTGTGTGTGTGCGACCGCGATGCTTGGTTTATTGTCGTGTGAGAGTACAAGTTCTGCCTCTGCCTGCGTTCTCCCGTGTACTTCCCTCACCACCAGCGCCCTCGCCACCACCACCCTGACGACGTGCAGTTGACTGCGACTCTGCGCACGACGGTGAGCGAAACGGTGCTGGCAACAACGGTCGTGTCTGCATCGCAACTCACGCGCGGACAGTTCACGGACGTGTCTGTCTCCTTCACTCCGGACCCGGCACCAGCACCAGAGCTCGTCGGTCAAGGCATCGAAATCACCCTCGCCGTCTCAGGTGCTGCGCTCTACGTGTGTGTGTGTGTGTGTGTGTGTGTGTGTGTGTGTGTGTGTGTGTGTGCACTGCATACGTTTTGTGCATGAGCCGCCAGTCTTGCTCATAGGGATGTATCACAGCCTTACTCACCCACCTCCATTCCTTACCTGCACTCCCATTCCACGCACCCCGCGCTCCACACGTGTCCAGGCCTTGGTCAGATGCACCTGGACAACTTCCGCGCGGCGTACGAACCACTGGCATCATCTGGTGTCGCCGCAACGGTCGACGATGACGCATTCTCCTTCGAAGGTGCTGCTGCTGTCGTGTGTGCGTGTGTGTGCGCGTATGTGTGTGTGCGCGTATGTGTGTGTGTGCGTATGTGTGCATGTGTGTGTGCGCGTGTGTGTGCATGTGCGTGTGTGCAAGTGATGTCTGCGCGTAGGTACAAGTGATGGTGCCATGAGGGAGTCAGGCGTTCCTCACACCACGCTCACATGCCACTGATACCTTGTCTCCATCGTGACCGCGCGTGCGTGTGTGTTTTCAGGTTCTGGCGATGCGCTGTTCTCGTTTGAGAAGGGCCAAACACACAATTTGATTTCGCTCTCGTTTGCCGCTGCACTCGGCAATGGCGTCCTACTCTTCAACGGACCCGAGATGGGTAAGACCGCTCGCGCTTGCACCCACGCGAACTCGCACTCACACTCACACATGCGCCAGCGAAGATGTTCACACCCCTCCTTTTTGTTTGGGTACACGCGTACAAACACACGGGCACACATACAAACACACGCACGCAAACACGTATACACACACCTGAACAAACACACGTACACGTACACTCACACCACCCCTCTTGTTGCTCACCACCACCACCACCGCCGCGTCTGCGTGATTTCAGCGGATGGCTCCGACAACTACATCCTGCTGGCACTGGTGGACGGCCGTATTGTGCTCTCGTTCAAGACGACATCCTACCACACCGTCACCGTCACAACCCAGGAGGTGCGGCTGGTGTTCACTATCACACCTGTACACCTGACAGTTGTGGCACCCCTTCACCGCCATGTCTGTTCTGCGAATCCCGCACGCTCATGTCAGTCCTCACATTTCCCACCACCACCACCACCACCACCACCACCACCATCGTTGTTGCTGTTTCTGTGTTCAGACGTACGACGACGGTGCGTGGCACACCATCTCGGCCACCCGCACGCCGACATTCGTCGAGTTGGTGGTTGACGGCCAAGTCGCAGATGCATCGCAGCACGCAGAGGTGAGGCTGCACTGCACGTGCTGCTGCTGGTGATTGTCTGTTGGGGTGGAGGAGGTGCAGTGTGTGTGTGTGTGTAATTATGTATGTCTTTGGTGTGTGTGCGTGTAATTATGTATGTGTTTGGTGTCTGTGTTTGGTAGCCTGTCAGCCTGTTGTTCAGGTGTGTTCTAATCTATTGTCACTCCCAATTCCTCACACACACCCCTCTTCCTCTCCTCAAACCACACCAACAATGACCACCAGGCCTACGATGACGCCATCCACGTGGACGGCCTCGTGTTTGTTGGCGGCGTTCCGGATTCCGTTTCCTCTTTTCCGGACGCGTTTTCTTCGGCCAAGCAGTCGCTGTACGGCTGCGTTGCCGCTGTCACCGTTGATGGCATGGGTCAGTCGCACTGTCGTGTGCTCGCTCTGCTTGCAACTCTGCCATGTGTGTGTGTGTGTGTGTGTGTGTGTGTGTGTGTGTGTGTGCGTGCGTGTGTGCGTGTGTGTGTTCGTGGGTGTGCGTGTGTGTGTCCGTCTGCGTGTGCGTGTGTTCTTGTGCGTGCGTGTGTGTTCTTGTGCGTGTATGTTCGTTGCACCTGCAAACACTGCCGACCATCCCCCTTCCTCACCACCATCATCACCATCATCATCATCATCGCCAACAACAGCTCTGGACCGCAGCCACTCCGCGTTCGTCCGCGCCACAGATGCCGATCACATGTGTCCGGGTCGCCCGTGAACGCGAGCACACCGCGCCCCATCGCTCTAACTTCGCAGTACCATCTCTTCTGTGTATGAGTCTGTGTGTGTGTGTGTGTGTGTGTGTGTGTGTGTGTGTGTGTGTGTGTGTGTGTGTGTGTGTGTGTTTCATTTTGTGTTCTGGCGTTCACACGTGAAGCTCTTGCGTCATTTCCCCCGAGTGCTGTTGTGCGTTGCATTGTTTGTTGTTTGGTGTGTGAGCCACATGACAGCGCGTTACATGACATTGTTGTGGTTTTGATCCATGTGTGTGTGTGTGTGTGTGTATGTTGTCGCTTGTTGCCCTATGTGAGACCGTCCCTTTCGTTTTGTTGCCTGTCGTGTTTGTTCTTTTGTCATTCGCGTTTCATTTCACTGTAAAGTAACAGCAAGTCAAGGCACATGCATGCTCATGCAACCCAACATGCACCACCAACACACGTGGACGAGTGGGACCAGCGTGCCCGTGTCGCCGATGAAGAAGAGTGAAGACCAACGCTCACAAATAGATACATAGATTGAGAAAAAATATGAGTTATGACTGCGACAGCAGACGAAAGCAAATTGCATTTCACGACACCACACACTTGCTGTGCTGTGCACAAAGTACATATGACAGAGGGAATAGAAGATCGCATAAGATGAGTCGAACGACTGCTGAGCGGAGCAGCTGACAGTGATGCAACCACATCATGGCACGTCGACCCAAGCAAAACGATTGTCAATGCAATTAGCTCTCCAGACACGAAACAAACACACATGCACACACATGCACACACACACACAAGACATCTACGGTATGCGCGTGCCACAGCGCTTCAGGACGCGCTTCGCCCAGCGCTGGACGGTGTCGCTGTGTGGGAAGCGGGCAACAGCTGCGACAACGGCGCCAATCACATCAGCGCGCGTGGCGTGCGACGAACACGAGCGTGCACGGGATGGCTTTCGACCGCCACCGCCGCCACCACCACGACCTGCATTGCTGTTCGAGGCTGATGGTGATGGCGAGGCGAGGTGAACCAGGGCCGACGGCGTCAAGTGATGGTGGTGGTCGTGGTGGTGGTCGTGGTGGTGGTCGTGGTGTTCGGGTGCACGTGCGCTCACGCCATACACGGTTCGCCGATCAATGCCAGACTCGTCTCCCGTGAATGGGGCGACAGCGAGGAAGACGTTGAGGGCGCCGAGACCAGCGAGCTGTACACCGAGCCGGTCCCGGTGCACCATCATCGCCAGCAGCACGCGGCTCACGGCGCAGATCTTGCGCAGCCGCCGCTTCGGCTCGTCGCCGGCACCAGACACCAGCGGCGACAACAACGACGACGATGGTGTTGATGCGGATGATGGTGACACGAGGGCAGATGACGGGTTGGGGCTGCGCTGATCTGTAACTTGACGTTGCTCGTGCTGCTGCTGCTGTTGCTGTTGCTGCCCCTCTTCTCCCCCTGCTTGCCCCTTGTTCTGGTGCTGGTGCTGGTGCTGTCTTTCTCCCCCTGCTGGTGCTGGTGCTGTCTTCTCACTGTCGTACGCCTGTAGGTGCTGCTGTAAACATGTCGAGCTTGTTCCTGCCTTGCTTCGTTTCGTCATGGGCACTGGTGGTGCCAGAGATTGCGGGGCAGTCAGCGTCCGCACCCGCAGCTGCCCGTCGTCGGCCCACCCCATCCTGCTTGCCAACACCTCCAGCGCGCGGCAGGCCAGGATCTGCAGCCGGATGTCGTGGAGGTGGTGACGCATCATGGCAGCTGTTGCCTCCATCGCCCCGCACTTGGCCACCAGCCGCCCGCGGCCCCCTTTGCTCTGCGCAACGGCCAACAGCACGGAGCACGCAGCATACTGCAGGCGCGTGCACTCCGCGTGTGTGCACATGGCAGATATGAGCGCCTCAACGCCACCGTAGTGCATGACCTGCGCGCACGCGTCTGTCTCAACGCGCGTCATGTGGTGCAGGGCCTCGCAGGCGTGCAGCTGGATGGCGGTGTTGCGACGGAACCGGGTCATGGCTGCGATCAGCACTTGCGGCGCTCCAAACGCAATCGCCCACCAGCAGTCGCCGCGGCCATGGGACACAGCCGATGCAAGCAAGGGGTGTGTGCGGTGGTCACCGTGCTGGTGGTCATGACCGCTCTGCTGCTGGTGCTGCTGATGGTGTTCGCTGTGGTTCTGGTTCTGGTTGTTGTTGCTGTTGTTGTTGCTGCTGCTGCTGCTGCTGTTGTTGCTGTTGTTGTTGTTGTTGTCGTTGTTGTTGTTGTTGTTGTTGTTGTTGTCGTTGCTGTTGTTGTTGTGAGAGGCCATCGGAGCAACTGGAAACCCGTGTGGACACGTTGTGACCAATACGGATGCCCGCTGGTGCCGAGCAGCGCCAGAGGTTGGTGGTGCCGTCGTCGCTGTTAGTGTTGTCGCTATAAGTGTTGGTCCTGCTGCTGATGCGCGGGGCACATGCAAGGGGGCGTGTTCGCCAGAGCAGCGAGACGGGCGCCGTAAGTGGTGATGCTCATGCGCGCGGGGTCTGTAAACAACAGTCTGCTGCCTCGCCCGGGTGCCGTGCTGCTGGCTACTGCTGCTATAGCGTCGCTGCGCCGTGTCTTGGTCCATGCTGCCAATTGCGCTCTCGCTGGCCCGGGCGTCGCTCGTCCGCTCATCATCGTCGCGCTTCTCATTGTCGTGCTCGTGGTCACTCCACACAATGCTGTCGCTGCTTGCATCCGAGGCATCCCCATCTCCTTGACCGTCGCCATCGCCATCGCCACCGTCAAACCGGTCATCCACGCGCCGCTGAGCCCTGTGCTCTGTGTGGTGCATGCATGTGTCTCTGTGCATGCTCGCCTTGCTTGACCGGCGGCGCCACCGCGACGTGTACCTGTCGGGTTCACTCCCCGCCACTCCGCTCTCCTCTGCAATGCTGCTTCGACCACCACCTCGACCGCGAACGCCGTGAAGGTGGTGGTAGTGGTGGCGGCTGGTCCTGCGGCTGCTGCGTGACGCTGGTGTGGTTGTGATGGTTGGACACCTTGCTGTGGCGGCTGTTGTGCTTGTCGTCGGCGGCACTGCATCGTGGGTGGAGGGGTTGGCGGTGGTGTTGAACACGGCTGCTGGCGGCGTGGGTGGTGTGGCGGATACGGGCGCGTGTGGGGCCGTTGCAGATCCCGCTTGACACCGGATAATGTGCCACAGGAGGGAGCAGCCGTAGCGCTGCAGGCGCTCGCAGCGCCTGTGCGAGCGCATGATAGCAATGAGGAGGCGGATGTATGTTTCGCTGTGGAGGAAGGTGATACAGTGCTCGCGCCCGTCGGCAACGCACTCCCAAAGGACCTGCATTGCTTCAGCTTGTGCGGTGGGATCGACGGAGTGCTGCAGCAAGGTGTGTGCTATCCGCACCATGCACAGCGGGGGACACGCCTCGACGCCATCAAAGTCAAGCAGCATGGCGACCCCGTCGCCGATGTCAGCGCAGAGCGACTCTGTGTCGCCCGCATTGTGGCTGTGCTTGTGACCACTGTTGTACAGCGAAGATAGGGAGAGTGGTGGTGGCAATGTGTGGTTGCCTGTGTTGCTGGCAACGCTGGCAGGCAGCAAGTCGTGCGGTTGCCGCTGCCGGCGCGTTGCGCTCATTTGTGTATGTGTGTGTGTGTGTGTGTGTGTGTGTGTGTGTGTGTGTGTGTGTGTGTGTGTGTGTGTGTGTGTGTGTGTGTGTGTGTGTGTGTGTGTGTGTGTGTGTGTGTGTGTGTGTGTGTGTGTTTGTGTGGATGCCTCCGTGTTTGTGTTTGCAAGTGTCAATGAGGCCTGTCAGTCACCATGAAGTGAGGAATGGGTTGGGTCGGTGAAATGATGGCTGGCAGATGGAGTTGGGCAGCGGTACCACCACGGCGTGTGGGTGTGGGTGTGGCGTGTGCGTCGTGTGTGTTGTGGGGCATGTAAATAAATGGATACGCACTGGTGTGACATCAGCCGGCTTCCTGAACGCTTGGCTCGCAAACAAAAGGAGGAGCAGCAACAACAGATCCGACCCATGCACGCAAGTGTGCCTTCAAGGCCCAAGCTGAAATGATTCCATGCACAAACAACAGCAAAACTGAATTCAGTCTGACCTCTTTGTGCTTGCAAGCACCAAGAAGAGCTGCTCATTTCGTTTGCTCCCACCAACCAACAAACCAAACACACGAGTTGTGGGTGTTTGTGTTTGTTTGTGTGTCTGTTGTGTTTGCTGTGTTGGATGAGTCCTTCACACCTCGCCAAGTGTACCACGCACAAGAGAAGAGAACAAGGTGGTGTGTTGTTGTTGTGTTCTCGTGTTGCTCCTTGAGGAGCACACACACACACACACACACACACACACACACACAAACTTGAGCAACCACCAACGTCTTTGATACTACTGCACGAGCACCATGAACAGCTACAACGCAAGTCACGCTGTGAAGCAGCCGTTGAATGCGGTGTTGCTGCTGTGCATGGTCCTCACCGGCCTCCTGATCTTGGGACCAGGCACAGCAGGTGAGCTGAGCTGCAGTCAGTTGAGAGGTAGAGTGGTACCTACACAACGGGGGAGGGGGCAGTCAGTATGAAATGAATTGAGTTGATGTATGCGCGCGCGCGCGCGCGCGCGCGTGTGTGTGTGTGTGTGTGTGTGTGTGTTTTCGCTGTGTTATCGTGTCTAGCCGTGTTTGTTGTTTGTTTGTTTGACACACGCAACATCCCATGTGAGCTCCTCATTCGGTCGCTCGTTGACACGAACTCCGCTTGTCATCGCATCCCCAACCAGATGCGCAATGCACGGGCTGCACGTTTTCCACGTCCGGCCCTTGCCAGGACCCGGCAACTGGCATCTGCTACGCTGCTTTCGGTGCGTGAAACGAACGTGGCAAAGTGCGCCCACCAGTATGGCGGTGCTCGTTGTTGCCCATGTTCCCCCTGAATCTAATGAACACGCGCGATGAATTGCTACAGAGTACATGCGGGTGACATTCTAGTTCCAACTTCATACTCTGACCTTGCGTGGCGGTGTTGCTTTCCAACCATGCTTTCCCTTCTCTTCTTGTCATCTCGTCCTTGCCATCACACTGATGTGACCCCCCCCCCTTCCCGTTTTCCCAAACCAACCAACCGCTCAACCACGTGTTAACCGCGACTGCTTTATGTTTCGCATCAACAGCAACGGTTCCACCGTCCTGTCATCCATCCTTCATCCAGTGCGAAGCGAAAACGGCAAACGACTACCCCCTCTGCGCCGGCTGCCTTCCCATCACAAATCCAAGTGTGCTTGGCCCCTTGCTGTCCACATGCTCTTGCTGCGTGTACTGACGAAACAAGGAACACTATTGCTGCTGGTTCTGTTGGTTCTGCTGGTTCTGTCACCACGGCACTCATCCAATGCACATGTACTGTTCTCTTGTCTCCTGTTGTTTCAAACAGCCCCTGACGGTGCCGTGAGCATTGGTCGGTGCAAGCACGACAACCCCTTTGATGATGTACGTCGGGTGTGTCTGTGTGTCTGTGTGTTTGTGTCTGTGTGTGTCTGTGTGTGTCTGTGTGTGTCTGTGTGTGCAATGTAGGCGAGGGCTGAGCGACTGGGCTCGAGTTTATGTTCATGCGCTTGCGTGCGAGTCGCGTGTGCCCTGTCCGTGTGACTGCTTCGTCTCACATATGCTCGCAAGCTCACCACGCGTATTCCCAACCGTGCCCCCTCCGTTTGATTTGCACCTGTACATGGTTTGTCGTGGTAGTCATGCTTTGCATGGCGGTCGGATATCGGCGGGTGTCCTGCTGGCACATCAACGTGCGAGGACAACCCACTCCCGCTTTCCGGTGCGCATGTGCAACTCTGCATGATGGAGAGTGTTTGCGTACAAGGCTATTGCGACAACGAGTGTGCTTGCACGTGCTCGTTGCGGTTCCGCTCACGCGTGTCGTTGTTGTGTGCTACTCAGGTGTCGTTCACGACGTGTCCTGGGGCAGTGGGCCTGGCCCTCCCCTGACAATCAAGGTTCGTCTGGTGCATGTCTGTGCACGTGCACATGTGCCGCTGCTTGCACGTGCATGTGTGTGTGCGTGCGTGTGCGTGCGTGTGTGTGTGTGTGTGTGTGTGTGTGTGTGTGTGTGTGTGTGTGTGTGTGTGTGTGTGTGTGTGTCGTCGTCGTACGTACGTACGTACGTACGTACG